TTTTTTTTTTTGCTTCCACCGCTCCAAGCTTGACTGACATGATTTGCTCAGGGTTCTCTGTACAGCGCTGCGGTATATGTCAGAGCTATATACATGCATAATGCATAATGGTGTGTGATTGTGGGGGGACTTTAGGGTGTAAGCTCCTCTTTACAGGACTGATGTGACTGTGGGGGAGGGGACATTAGAGTGTAAGCTCCTCTGTACATAGACTGACGTGACTGGCTCAGTGTTCTCTGTACAGCACTGCGATATATATGTATAATAATAACAACAGTGTTTCCAATCTTTGTACAAAATGTGTCATATGTGTCTGAGACAAATTTAACTTGGATCCTCGGTTTCAAGGAATGTCTCACCTGAGGTATGTGTTACATACTGCAACAGAATTATACAATATGAACCGGCGACAGCCAAAAAGAAATTGGTCTTACTTTGCATCACTTTTCTTATTACTAAACTCAGGAATTGTTTAATAAATATGACGCAAGCACAGTTCCACAAAGAAATATGGAGCAAAAAAGAACTACTTGAATTTGGTGCAGGAGTCGATAGAGGTCTGGAATTTGGCATTTCTTAGGCTTCATAATTCTGGTGCAAATGCAATAGTGACTTCTCATGACAGTCTCTTGCAAGAAAAGCCTTCCTGCCAACAATGTTTCAATAACAGGCTATAGTTCCGCTTTAAAGACCACACAGCCACTCATATACACACATGCACGCACTACACACACACTTACACATAAAGGTTGAACTCAATGGACCTGTGCCTTTGTTAAACCTCAAATACTATGTAACTATGTGTCCTCAACTTTAGAGTCATTACAGAGGATTTGACATGTTAGGATGATCACTCTAAGATGGGAAATATTTAAATACTGCAAAAATGTATAAGATTTTTTGTATGTGCAAAAATAGTTCCTTGTACATTAAGTGCACACATGGATTTTGCACGTGATTCAGCAATACATTTCAGTTAAAATGGTTGTTTAAAATAGAAATTGAGGCACCTACTGAAAGTAAATGATGTTGTATAATGCTAAAATGTAAAATGGAGCCTTTTATAGTACTTTAAGAATAGTTTAGACTGGATCCTTGGCAAGTTTTGCCTGTTTTTTTTAAACAAATGTGCACTATTAAAATAATTTTTCATGTAAAATTATACTCAAAATAAGTGTAACTCTCTTTGTGTTTTGGGTGTTGTATTTGATTTAGTACAAACTGAACAAGATGGTCTATATAGCAGGGACACATGTCATTTGGTTTTTCTTGAAACCTTTACATCCAATAATGTTTATGCTTTGGTTATCGATGCCCCAATTTATTTTCAGTTTTATGTTATTTTGCTTTATATTGTAGGTAACGCAGGGTACCTCGGTTTACCATGGTCAATACAAAAGTCAGCAGTCACCCACTAGGAACATTCTTCTTCCTGTTATCACTTGAATTTGTGCACTTTTTGCCATTTCAACACATGGAAGTATGTGTATACAACCCCGTGTGCATGGGAACATGTTTATCCACAGTCAATATTGGCAGAGGAAAAAGGTTGGAGTGATTTTTTCAAATTCAAATACATTCAAAAAATTGTATTTTGCAGTTTAGTAATTCAGGCCCAATATGCTCACAACTCTGCCCACATTACTTATTAACCCCTTGACCTTCAAATAGCTTTGGCTTTATCACAGAGTTCTTGAAATCTATGTTTGTTGACATTTTTGCCACAATTTCTGCCCACTTTCAAGCAGCCTTTTATCGTAACTGTTGCTCAGTCTATCATCAGCAGTTTCTATCATCAATGTGAAATTAACTGAAGTGTTGATGGTAGGCTATCTTGATCTACTCAGACATTGAGAGCTGATTGAAAGTGGTTGAGCTTGCCTGATAATTATTATGTGAATGGCCAGCTTAATGGTGAGCTGTCACAATTCTCCAACTGCTGTAGCCATTACAGACTCAACTATAGTATCATGGTTCTCTTATTAATTTTTCATTACAGTGTATGATTTTGTATGATTTTGAATTCCCCTCATAAATAGCAAGCACTCATTGGTCTGCACCGGTGGATGGGAGGAAGTAGAAATTGCTGGAAGAGTGAATGGCTTCCAAAGAGTGAATGTTTTACTAAAGCTCTGTGAGAGTATTTGGGGGGGAGCAGTAACAAACTTCTGTTCAGAGGTTTACCACTGAAGTCAATGAAGGAAGTAAAAGGCAGCTAGTTATTTTACACACTAGTACCTGATGTGGCCTAGCAAATAAAGTGTGGCTTAGGGTGCAAAAGGTGTATTTTTGTCTATGGTTAGAAATGCATTGCATCCACTTACTGTACCATTTGTATTACCTGTTCTGAGGAGAGAAAAGGAATATTGACCAGTCTTCACGTAATGCACACCAATCCGGTCGGTAAACCTCAATCATTTTTCTGATTCGGAAACATAAACTCTGTGGAGAATCAGTAATATATTAAGGTCTTGTAGATCAGCACTTTAACTTTCTTTTGCAGAATTTACAAGTGACTTGTTTGTATGTAAATGGGGCTGTCATCTGCTGTCGCAATTCTGCAATGTGTCATTGTCTTTTTGGTAAACTCTTTGTGCATGTCAGAGTGTTTACTCTTCTGTAGAAATTACTTCAGTATCAAAAACACCATTACTTTCTGCTGTCATCAGTTCCTGTCCTGTAAATAGCTGACAATGTTCCCGAAAAGAGTAATATCAAGCTGATTATGGACAATCCATTATAATGATGCTTTGCTCACAATATTTTAGTCCTTTACTGAAAACTAATTGCAAATGACACTCATGTTTTGATCATGAAGTGTCTGTCATATTATTCCCCTGGAATATAAATGTTGGCAGTATATCAATGGTCATTTAATTTACCTGGAACAGATTAGTTAAAATTATATTTTGTTATATTTCAAGTGTGTGTTTAAAATTTTCATCACAACTTAATTACCTTTAATTAATTTGAGTGAACAACTTACTTACCTATTAATTAACATTAAGAAGTTAAAGGGCATGATCGTTAAACTGGTATACAAAAGAGTTAACAATGGACACATACAGTATAATCTTTTTTTCAATACTTGACTCAGTTTCATGCACTGACTTTAGTGTTTATTAAATTACTTTCCTAAACACACACACACAGACACACACACACACACACACACATAATGATATATAGAGGGACATACAAAATGTAGAGTTGCTAATGAATCCACAATTTTCACACTTAAAGAATTGTATTCTCCCTCGGTACTCAAACACAGCAATAAGAACAATCTATGAGGCCTGTGGGATTGGGTGCAGAAGCTGTTATCTCCATTACATATCGCAAAACAGCCAACTTCCAGACAGCACAATCATTAGCTGTGTGGCCACTGAAGTTGACATGGGTAAATAACGGTGCTGTTCAGTTCGGCTCCAGTAGAAAGTAGAAGTGTGTCATGACTAAGCCATAGCTTCCTCACATACAGTGCTACTAATATGCAAGCATTAGGATGGCACATCTGCATAGTCTTGTGTTAAAGATTATGATATAAGCTGCTTACTCACATAATCAATTTCCTCTTCTTCTTCATCCTTATCCTTACGGTTGTTCATCTTGGGGAAAACATCCTTCATGATCTGGGGAGTTTTTACACTGGAATCTTGATATTCTCCAACTGAATTAGTCCCTTTGCTGGGTGTCCTATGGCTTGTATGAAGTCCAGAATGTTCTGGAATGTCTGTAGAGCCCTTATTGTCCAGCGACATTGCTCTCCTGTGTTTCAGGCTGGATGCTCTCCTGGAATGACTTCTGTCTCTGTGGAACTCTGCTCTAGAGAGTAAAGACTCATGCTCAGCTGTACATGGTCTTGGCCTAATACTTGTGCGACGACCCAAGCTGTTCCAGCTTGATCTGCGGCTGCCCCAAGCTCCACTTCTGTTCCAGTGAGGTGGCCGTGAACCTACCTGTAAAACATAAAGCTATAGATACCTTAGAAAGAAACATTAAACACAAAATCTTGTTAAAAGCCGAGATTTATATTAGGTAATATCATCACATATATCAAGTAGTTACATAGTTACATAGTTACATAGTATTTGAGGTTGAATAAAGACATTAGTCCATCAAGTCCAACCTATTAGGATCTCATTCTAGGAGTACCCGTACCCCTGTATATTACGGTCCCTTAAGAAATCGTCCAAAAGTTTCTTGAACAATTCCACATTATTTGCTGAAATCACCGCCTGTGGCAGTGAGTTCCAGACCCTAACTGATCTTACTGTGAAGAACCCCCTTCGCCCCTTGTGCTGGAATTTTTTTTCCATCAATTTTAGGTGATGGCCTCTAGTTTTTGTAACGGAGTTAATTTTAAACAGTTTATCGCTAATGTTGCTACCACCATTAAACATTTTGTACATGGAAATCATATCCCCCCTTAATCTCCTCACCTCTAATGTGAACATGTTTAAATTTAGTAGCCTCGTCTCGTAGCTCTGGTCCTCCATACCCCTAATTAGTTTGGTTGCCCTTCGCTGGACTTTTTCCAACTCAAGGACATCTTTTCTTAGTACTGGTGACCAGAACTGGACCGCGTACTCCAGATGAGGTCGAACCAATGATCTATAAAGTGGCAAAATTATAGACTTGTCCCTGCAATACATCCCCTTTTTAATACAGGACAAGACCCTGCTAGCTTTGTTTACAGCAGCCTGGCACTGCAAACTACCTTTCAGTTTGTGGTCTACAATGACCCCCAAATCCTTCTCCATTTCTGACTTCCCCAGCGGCATACCCATAATTGTATAACCCATTTGTTTATTTTTAATTCCAAAGTGCATCACTTTGCATTTATCGACATTAAACCTCATCTGCCACATTAATGCCCACTCCCCTATTTTATCCAGGTCCTCCTGTAATGTTATGGTGTCTAAGTCCGTGTCTATTACCCTCCCTATTTTGGTGTCATCCGCAAACACGGAAATATCGCTGTTAACACCCTCCCCGATGTCATTAATAAATAAGTTGAACAATATGGGACCCAGCACAGAACCCTGAGGCACACCGCTCATTACACTAGCCCAGTCTGAAATTCAATTCATATTTCAGTGTATAGTCAAAAATCCTCCCTCCTCCTCGATTAAGTGTATGGTAAATATATGCATAACCTTCCTTTCTCTAACCCTTCCTCTCCCCTAAATACCCTCTTACATGCTCTCCCTCAAGCCTTTATTTTGTGATTTTATTGTGCTATCATATTTTTAGCATTCTGTAAACACAAATGAGATATCCTCTGTATCCTATGTGAAAAGTTTGTTATTTTACATTGTACCGCTCATCAACTAAAAAAAAAAAAATTCTCATGAAAGAAATGTGTACAGTAACTCTGTAAAGCTGAATCCTCCAACGGCTATGAATGGCTAACTGTATGTCAGGTGATGAAGCTGGCTGCATAGTTTACAAGTCAATCACTTATAGGGTTATTTACAAAAGGGTGAATAGTTTGGAGAAGGCAGGAGAAGTGAACAATCTTGGACAATATAGCTGAATTGGAAAGTTAGCTGAATTGGAGAATGTTTCCAAATCAGCTATTTTGGCCTAGATTGTTCATTTCTCCTGCCTTCTCCAGACTCTTCCCCCTTTTGTGAATAACCCAGTTAAAGAGATTTCCTGCAAACTGGAAAATATCTGTACTCATCCTTTTTTTTTTTTACATTATTTTTTCTCAATAGATACTGGACACAGCATCAACGTCAGGCACTACAAAAAGGATAAGCAAAATTACATAGATGTCTAAAGAAAACTATTTAAATAATTTATATTATCTGCAGAGGACCTAATGTTTTGCAGTATCTCAACCAACAGGTTTAATTCAGACCTTTACAGACATCTATACTTACCTTCCTCTCACCCTCACACCACTCCAGGTAGTGAAATCAGAACACTTTGTAAGCTGCCAGAGTCAAAGCTCACACAGGACTATGGACTCCACTGCGAGAGTACTAATTGGCCCAGTGCTGGTATATGGGTGAGTAACATGAGTCACGATACCCATAAGTACCTTCTTTTATTCAGAAACAAATTTAAAGCACCTACTTTCTAATAATACTTCTCCAATGCTTATTAATTGCTTACCTAAATATAGCATTGAAAGTGAATTTTTGCAAATGGTATAGTATGATGTAGTATATGGGTCTCTAATTCAAAAACTGCATTGTGATTTAGTTGTTGCATGCAATCAAAGCATTCAAACCTAAACTAACATTGTCATTTTTGTTAGATAGTGTAGAGATAACCCACCTTGCAACTTCACTAATATCTTCTGGAATTCATTAGGGAGACTGCTGGAGTTGAATATTCAGGTCTGTATATATGTTGCAGTGATTGCAAAGGGATAATACTCCCCCTTAAAGTTTTATTTCTACATTTTTTATAGTATTGAAAATGTAAGAGAATGAGTGGGAACCTCCATACCATCAAGGTGGGTGGAAATGGAGTCAGAAACTGTGGCAGATAGATCATGCCAATAGAGTCCCCAATAAATATAAGCCAACAAGTGACTCCGGAAAATTGAAAAAAAAAGTTTTGGTCATTTCAAGTATGCTGCCTGTCAATTTGTCACTTAAGCTTGAAGATTGAATCTTCCCAGGAAAGTATGTCATATTTCATAGCAGCAGTTTACTGCCTTTCTGACCCATTTAAAAAAAAAAATCTGTACTGCTTTTTCTGTATTTCATTCCATAGTCATCATTTAGTACTTTCAAATCACTCCATTCATTTCTGTTTTTTTCTAGAAACCTTTTTATTTATTTTTTTTTTAAGTTTTCATACGCACGCAAACAAAGAAAAAAGAAAGAAAGTAAACCAATGTGGAACACATGCTCCATTTAGATGCTTGGTGATGTCACAGCAGATATTGCTTGCATTGGCTAAAACCAAAAATGCATAAAGCATGGAAAAAGCATTAAAAATATATTACAATATATCAAAAATAATCAACGTGTGTAAGGACAAACAAAAAAGCACTAGACATGCTCCGACAAAAAATGTATTTCATTTTGGATTTTGCGTTATTTCATTTTAGGGATTCGGGTCCGAAAGTCTCTTCCTTTTGTTATTCCGATTCGTCCAAATCTGAAATTTTTGTTAATTTCGGATGAGTTAAATTATATTTGCTAACAAATTTTCATTGCAGCAAAGTGACATTAGAAAAAAAAGTGACATTTTTCTTTTTAACTTTTGACAGTCCACAGAAACAAAAAAAATAAATAAAAGCATGGAGTCCCCCTGAAATCTCATACCAGACACTTGATCCAAACAGAAGCCTGACAGAGCAGGAAAGGGGAGGCGAGTGTGCGCCCCCCCCGCATCATACCAGGCCACATGCCCTGGTCTGTGGGCAGGGGAGCTTAATAGGGATCTGGGTGCCCTCTTTCATAAAAGGGGCACCCAGATGCAGCCCCTCTCATGAATGAGTAAGGGGTAATTGTTACCCCTACTCATTCACCAAATAAACAATCATATTGTAATTTAACAAACAACACCATAAAAAAGGTCTATTATTTAAAAAAAAAAACAATAAAAAAAACGGGGTTTCACACTTTTTTTAAAATTGTTTCTGTGCTTTGTCTTTTTTTTATGACACTTTGCTGAATGACATTCAGAAAAAAAGTAGGATGCATCCAAATTTCATTATCGAAAAATTCGGAAAAAGTTTATCTTCATTATTTTTATTCATTTGGAATTTCCTATGCATCTGAGTGTCTGAATTTCCAAAAATTTGTTTACATTTTCATTCGGAATGAAACGAATCGCACATGTCTAAAAAGGGCTAATATGCAGACACACTAGCATGAAAACTTACACTGCCGTTGCTCTGCAGCCCACAGTTCTACCATGGACACAGTCTCTATATCTATATATCTATATCTATAGATATATCCTGAATCCTGAACCACTTTTATTTATGTTAACTACAATGTATATTAGTGAATGTGTCTAATTAAAGATATATAGTACTTAGAACGATGGATTGAGAATTAGAGCATTTAATGTCATAAATGGTTGGTATATATGACATAAGTTTGAAAGCTAGCTCTAAATATGTGAATCTTTCAGCATACTGGTAAATCTCTGCCCATAAAAATTGTTTAATTAGCTAATGATAAGCCAGGTTTATAGATATGCTTAGTGCAGACATATTCATCAGGATATGCATTTCTCCTGCAAGGAGAGAAAAATAAAGGGTGAATCTTCCCAGTGACAACACAAAGAGCCAAACAGTTTGGGCTTTAGATACACTTATAAAAATGGCAGATATATTTACTTGGCTGTATATAACCACATTGAGTCATATACTTCTTAAGTAATTGTTCCATTAATCAGTACTATTGTTAACTATATTCCTTGTTTATTAGAATGCAAAATCTGCTGGATTAAAAGATGAAAATAGGATATTCTCCTTACCTGTGACCTCTGATCATAGGTCATACGACCGAGAGACATTACACTGCTTTTCCTGCAGTCCAGAGCTACCAGTACTTGATCCCTTTGTAGAGAATTTTTAGACGTATTCATGACTCCACCAGTGATCTGTTGACTTATTATAGGGGTGCTTTCCAGATGTCCATTTGGTGTCACTGGAGCTGTACAAAGCTTTGGATCTAAGTACACGTTAGAAACAAAATGTGTTCACACACCAGTATTAATATGAAATGCAAAAAAAATTATAAAATAGAATTTATGAAGCAGTTCCATAAGTAGTCCCATGAGTAGTTACAGTGGACAGTATCTTAGGTCTATATACATACTACAAACATATTTCTAACATTTTACCCCATTTGAGAGATATTATTTTGTGTCAGAAGGTGATGGTAAATCTTTCCAGCTGGGACACCAATTAAACAAAACACTTCTTCTTCAGTACATTTTGGCAGGGTTAGGATGTCCATTAGGTCATGAATACTATTTGTGTCTTCCCGTCCCATTGACAACATCTCTTATCGTTTATTGCCCTGCTGTTACAAGGACAAGGATTGATGTGTATCAACTGCACCATGGTGAAAGAGTTTTAACCATTTTGTTGATACATACCTTGTGGGAGCATCTGGGAAGAAGAGGATGGCTTCTCTGGCCAGGAAGCTTTTCAGCCAGATAAGTACCAAGATGAAAAAATGCTTTTTACAAATTAAAATTATTGGTGGTTTATGACATAATGTTAAGATAAGAAGGCATACATTCTAAGCTTAGTTTTCATATTAGACATTGTTTTTTTACTGATCTGTTTATCAAGCAAATATTTGTAGAAACAGACTCTCAACCTGTATGTAAGATTGCAAGATTCTTACCAGACCCAGCCTGAATTTCATGATATTTATCAGACTCTTCAATATTTAAAGAGCTTCTTTCTTCATCAGAATAAGACCGGTTAGCATCCCCCTGTGTATAAAAATATATTTAATTGAAAAACTATGACTTTGCACATTAAAATATTTAGACTGTCTAAATAAGCATTAAAAACACCTAATAACAAGCCCTCATTAACCTCTATTGCTTTAGGCATTGTGTAGAAATTAATCTTCAAATTTACAACAGAGGCACTGAAATCACAAAAGTTACTTTCTATGAAAAACAGAATCTTGGCAGTTTGCCAGCTGCTAGAAAGTAACTAAATTAAAAATAAGAAAAAATGTTTGGTAAATCCTGTTTGCAATTTGACGAGCTTGAATCTATTGTCTAATCCTTTTGAAGTCTAAGGGGGGGGGGGTATCCTTTTAGTAAATTCAGTGCTATGAAGGACATGTACCAAGTACCAATGGCAAATGTATGTTTAACCACTTGCTACCCAGAGCAATTTCTTACTATTTGTACACATGAGAAAATCTGAATTTTGGGCTACAAAACAGCTTGAAAACCCAACAATTATATATTTTCTCAAAAGTAGAGGCCCTGTAAAATTAATTTGCACAAATGTTTATGAAACCAATATTTGTAGGGTAAAATACACTAAAATGAAATTTAGTGCACAGAAACAGAATATAATATCCAATTATTTTGGTCAAATATAAAATATGGGGTCTAGTCGGGCAAATGTTAAGCCCGATAAAGGGGGCCCTGTGAGGCCCCAAAACATTGCATTTTTGATGTGACAATATAAGTGAATAAAATACGCTTTATTTTGGACATTATCCATTGGTGTACTGGTGACATTTGTGATGATGTGCCATGCAATTCGCAGTCACTTCAGCACCCACCTTTCAGCACAAGGGGCATTCGGTAAGGAGTACGGCAGTTATCTACAGTTGCATCGGGTAAATTGACACCAAAAATGTCAAGCCTTAAAATTGCTGCACCTGTTAAACTGCAAAAAACTACAATGCCCAAAATTGCCCATAGACAATGCTTTAAAAGCTTTTACTGCTCATCGGTTTAATGTTGACAGTGATTGATGGCCCTGGAAACTATGTAATAGCCAATATAATGTGACAGGTCCTCTTTATGGAGACATCAGGAGTCTTCCAGAGCCGGAGAATGTACACAGTGACACCAGAAGAGATGTAATACACATCACTTCCGGGTGAAGTGACCAGAGGAGAGATCAACAGCTAGAAGCCTGCTGATCTCTCTCAGATTGAAGAGGTGAGACCCGCCATGCCAGTCCTGGGCCCGCACAGGGGACAGCGGAGCCCGGGGGAAGCCGCGGAGGGGGAACACACAGTGCAGCTCAGTACAAAGAATCCGGCAGCTATACAGCCACCAGATCACTTATACATGAACAGCAATCACCTGCTATTTAAAACGATACCAAGAGCAGGACTACAGCAGCAGCTATGTTCTTGTATAATCACTTTAAGCAGATGACGTGTATTTACGTGAACCCACTAGAAGTGGTTAAGTACTGTACAGTGGGGAGAGGTTCCTTTTTATGCAGCTTTGAGGGTGACATGGAAAAAATGCAAATCTTTTTAAATTACAGTTTTAAGGCATGTCTTAAAGCTGTATGTGGTGTTACAGTACAGGGTGATTTTCATGGAAACATTCAGCAACAGTGCGCTCTGGCAAATACATTTTGGCTGTGGGATTATTTTTTCTTTTACAAATAGCTTGACTTACATACAACAGCATCCCAAACTTTTATTGCAGCTTAAAAAATATTTTATTAAGTGGTTTTAGCAGAGACCATGACCAGAGGAAGTAAGGGCCACACCAGATCTAAAAGCCATAGAAAGGTGTCTTTCTAAAAAATAAGAGCTAAAGCCCTCAGTTATCACATACAGGGTTATTCACAAAAGGGTAAAAGATTTGAAAAAGGTAGGAGAAGGGAACAATCTGGGACAACAGAGCTGAACTGGAAAGTGAGCTGAATTGCAAAAGGTTTCCAAATCAGCTATTGTGTCCATGATTGTTCACTTCTCCTGCCTTCTCCAAACTCTTCACCCTTTTGTGAATAACCCTGTTAGTAAAAACTGTCCAGTGTTTAAAAAGCTTCTCGAAGTCAAAATAAAATGCACAAAAACACTTCACAGCACCACCCTACATTCCCTGCATCACTAATCCTTATATTCCCAATTCTTATAAAAATATTCAAAGTATAGCCCTAAGGTATGTTTAGGTTCACATTGGCCAGTGGCAGGAAAGTAGTTGAACACTTGAATTAGAGAGAGACAAGGCAGGTTTTATCTTGCAATAAAAATGTGTAGCAATAAAAATGAATGTAGCATCTAAGACCACAGAGTCAGAGTATAGCCCCTGAGTTTAGCCAAAAAAGTGACAAGCGACAAGACAGTGCATAACCACTTGAATGGGCCACAAATAAGAACGACTAAGCAAGTTTTAGATGGGAAAAAAGGCAGTCACGGCTGCTGTTCCTTTAGGGAAATTTGATCAGTAGAGGCATGTTGGTTAGCAGAGGGGACTATGCCACCAATGGTAAATTCAGAAAAGAAGCTTTTATGCAGCACATCCTCAATGTGCCAGATTTTGGGCCCCTTCTTAGATGGTGGCAGAAGATGAGCAATTTTGCCCTTGTATTGGGGATCCAATAGGTTGCCACTTAATAGTGGTTTCTCTCTTTGCTCAACTGAATACTTGTGCAAGTATTGTAGCATAAAGGACCACATATTCAGCAAATTGTCTACTGTAATATTTTACTAATTTTGTTAAACCCTAAAAGTACATGTAAACTGCAAAACATAAGCCCCCTCACTATTCCCCTTCACATAGAGCTGTGCCTCTCCCCAACAGTTCTATACTTACCTCTTCCCATTGGTGCGATCTCCTGTGAAGTCTACAGTCAAAATCTAATGCCAGGTTTTCCATTCCTGTGGACCTGTTGGGAGGAGAGGGGCAGCTCCATGTGTTGAGAGGGCTTGGGGAATTTTGGTTTTGAAGTTACCATGGACTTTAATGTCTGTGGTCTAGGAATAAATTGTTGCTTGTGCATCATAGATGTGCCATGAATGCATACTGGCACATCATACATATGCCATGGCAGCCAGAAGCTACTGACCTGTGGCTTATTTTGGTACTACTTTCAGCATTCCCTGGCTCCTGAATATACACTTAAAAAAAGTCTCCTTGCACTGATCTGTCCTGTAACAAAACTCCCTAAAATGCTCCAAAGGATCCTTCCCTTCCCCTACCAGTGCTAGGCAGATAAGTTGTCATCAAGGGAAACAGACATTTGGAGCACATTGACAAGGTTATTTTTTGGGGCTTCAGAAACAATCACTTGCATATAAATTTCTTAAATTTTTCATGAAAATTAGCATTTGTTTTCAGAGGGTCTGAAAACATCTCTTTAACAATGTAAGTACTGCAAAACAATTTGCATTAAAACCACATAAAAAAGCAACGTTTTTCAAAGAAGACCAGTGGGAAAGGGGACTAAACTACCGTGTTTCCCTGAAAATAAGACACAATACAGAAAAAAAAAGAAAAGTCTATATGTATTCATGTACAAAAATATGATGATCAGGGACATCAGGGGTGCCGTACCTTTCCAAGAGCAATTTGGTAACCAGAATGAGCGAAGCGCACTTTCACTATCGATTCCTCACAGGCGGAGTGCATTTAGTATCACTCCGCCAGTGACAGGAGCCAGCGCTTCAGAAGAAGCATCGGTTTGTGCAGCTCCACTCCCTCCGCTGCCACCTGGCTTTCTCTAGCGCTGGCTTTGTTGGCACCGATGGTTCTCTCCTGCCTCTCCCGCGGCTCTTCAAGTTCCCCCTTATGTCACCACCGACCCTGGGAATGGTCACAACTAGGTCTTATTTCCGGGTAGGTCTTATATTTTAGCAATTTACAAAAATAGTACTGGGTCTTATTTGCGGGGTAGGTCTTATTTTCGGGGAAACAGGGTAACTCAACACAGCATTTGGTAAAAACGAATTATAATTATGTAATTCCTGGCTATTTAAACATTATGTTACTGTAATGCATGCATAATATATGCTTAGAATATTTATACAGATTGTTTTTCTGCTTGCCTTGCATTACTATTGCAATGTTAATGTAATTAATGAGCAAGGTCTATACCACAAAGCACCTTAGGTATTACTTTTAGAACACAGTCAAGGGAAGTTTTCAGAGCTAAATACTGTATAATCTACCAGGCAAAATTGAATTATCTTTCATTAGAGTAATACTCCATGTCAAAATTAACCATCAGGTCTTAGGAAGGGCTCCTGTTATATTTAGAGTACAATTATATATTTTTTTATTTATATAGAAATGGTCACATCAAAGTCTAAATAGCCAAATGTATTGTCCAGCATTTCTCAACCAGCCTCTGTCCAGACCTGTTTTGCTTCCTGCCCTCTGCCATCCTGCTGCTGCTGCATTGTAGTACAGATCATAAAGTAGGACTGATTTATCCTAATTTGGATAAACCTTGCCTTGAGTGGATTAGTCTAAAAAAAAAAAAATATTGCAACTAGTGGATATAGTCTGACTCCTGGAGGGAATCTAGAGGCACCCAGAGAGAATACTTCATGCTTTTTATAAGGAAAGGTAGGATTCTGATGTGAAGGAGTGACTGATTTATCCTAATTTGGACAAATCTTGCCTTGAGTGGATTAGTCTCAATAAAAAAAACAAATATTGCAACTAGTGGAAATGGCCTGACTCCTGGAGGGAATCTAGAGGCACCCTCCAGGAGAGAGAATACTTCATCCTATTTATAGCATAAATGTTAATTAATGTTATTAATGCTTCCCTCCCTCCCATTAAATATATTGTAGAATTTGTTGGAAATACAACAGCATATATGTACTGATATATCTTTTGAGCTGTAGATGGCGCTGTGGTGCAATGTTTGTCTATATGTGCATGCTTTTCTATGATGCACAGTAAGTTATTTTCTCTATATGCTTTCTTCACAATGCCATTGTAGCAGGGCCATTGTCATTTCCCTTTTAGGAGCAGTGTCGCTTTAAGAC